ATACATAGTGAACAGAAAATGAAAAAAAATTGTCGTTGTGGCAGTCCTAGTCATCACTGCCGTAAATATGTGTACCTCTTGACCTCTTCTTTCATTTTCCGTTTTTAAGGAATTTGCATGCCTTGTGTGCTGGCTGGTGAGGATGGGAGGGGGGCCTCCATGGGCTTCAAATGGGTACAAAAGAAAGGTAAAAACAAAAAGAGGCTTGCAGATAAGGTGGTGGGGGAAAGAAAGAAAGAAAGAAAGAGAGAGAGAAGGGTCGGAAGGGATAGCTGGAGATGATAGGATTGGTCAAAAATGGGGTTTAGTGGCTTACAGTGTCACTCTGATGAGTGAAGTGCTGGTTTGTTACTTAGCCAATATGGGCCAGCTCTACTCCCTAAGAGACGAAAGGCATCAAGGCATTGTTCTGCAGCAACAATTTTGTTTTGCAAATTTATATCATATAATCTTAGAAAGATGATAACCCATGTGAATCAAAAGTTTTTTGTTTTTTTTATTAAGAAAACAATTAAAAAATTTATTTTATTCACAATAAAAGAAGATTCAAATTCAATTTTTTCGATAAAACATGTACGTTGTATCATTGAATCAAACATTCAAGTATAAAAAATTAAATTTTAAAAAAATTTTAATTCAGATATCTTTTATTATCATACATGTAAATACATGTATTTAGGGGAAAAAAAAAAGGCAAACTATTGGTAAAAGCAAAAGGAATGAAATGACCATTTCTTAATCACAAAACTTTCTTTTGGTTGAACTAAAAATTCAATGGTGCATGGACCATTGAATTTGAGTGTTTAATACGTTTCCAATGATTGGAAGATGAGCTGGTGAATAAGAGAGTACTTTTCAATGTTTATCCACAACCACGCCTCTCCTATATTTAATAAATATAATAAAATTAACCCAATGCAAGATTTAATTCAATGCTCATAGACTCAGCCCTAAGAAGGAAACCGCATGCACCCCGGCCCAGATTCTCTGATTGAGGATTTAGGGAAATCTTTGCTTATTGAGAGATATGTAACAGGTGACACATCACACGTATGAAATAAATAAGAAAAATCCCGATTTGGGTTTGATTTTCTTAAAAGTAAAAATTGCACTACCAAACCGGGATAATGAGTGAACTGAATTTCACAACACTTTTTTAAGCACAAACATGAAAGGATTATGTCTCCGAAGAGACATTCCAGCTTATTCTCTGTCAAGTTAATGGATGCATGTAGATATGTCTAAAGAAGAAAAAAATCTTTAAAAAAATGTAAGCATTCCTTTGTAAGCTTAAACAGCAACTCAATTGAGACGTCTGGACCTTCCACTGATTATTTTAATGATTCCCAATGCTTCAATTGTAGGATGCAATTACCAAAGAATTTGCTCTCCAAAGGTTACCGGTATCCACTAGTTTTATTTATTGTTTAATTATTTAATCTTGGACCATATCTAAAAGCTTAGACTATCTTGTTTTTATTCTCTTTTTTCTCTTAGTGCTATGTCAGCATAATCCTAATCAAGGTTAATTAGTGATTTAAGACTGTGGTGCGCACGCTCTTAATCAGAGTTAATTAGTGATTAATGCGTGTGGCATGCACAGGTTATCTCACTGTGACATCAAATATTTTCAAGCAATATATAGCCAAGTCTACCTTGGTTTTTCTTCTTATGTTATCCAATCTTTCTTCCTATACAATGTGAAAGCATGATCATCATATTTATAAATTCATCAAAGGGAAATCCAATAAATTAAAATTGACAATGACTTAAAATGAAAAAACAAAGAAAGATTTGCCAAGTCAATCCTTGAATAATCTACCTACA